GGTCCATTAGTCCTTTGGACTAATCTTTCCCTTGTATCTTGTTTTCTTCATTCTCCCTTGCACCCGAAGGGGTGAGACCAGTAGAGTATCTTAGATGGCTGCTCACAGGCTTTTAAGACCCCAGACACTACTTACCAAAGTAGAATGTAGAACATTTTGTTTATTTAAATTATACTGTAACATTTCTCTCAGGGCATATAAGGGTATATTTTGGGTTTTTTGTTTTTGTTTTTAATATATATATAAATTGAACTTCCATTCTGTTAACAGTATCTTAGTATCTTCTGTGTGATTATAAGCAAACAGAATATAGGACTTGGTTGAGAATCACTGAAGTGAGATGAACTTACAATTTCAGTCCTTGCTTAAGATCCTTCAGTGAGTTTTTATTGCAATGAGAATAAAATCCAAGTTCCTTACCCTGGCCTACAAGGCCCGGCAACATCTGGCTCTACCCGCCTCTCAAACCTCATCTCCTGCCCTCTGTATCTCACTCACTCTGCTCCAGTTACATTGACCTTCTTTGTGTTTCTTATCACAACAGGCTGTTTCTTGCTGTAGGGTCTGTGCACTGGTGGTTCTCTCTCCTACCTGGAGAATACTTTGGACCAGGTCTTTGCCTGACTGGCTACTTATTGTCTTTCAAGTATCAGCTCTCAGCTCAGGTGTTCCTCTTTCCTGAGAGGCCTCACCTGACCACCCTCAAAGAGGCTCCCTTCTCCATCACCACTGTTCTATAACCTCAACTTGTTTTATTTTCTTCATAGCACTTACCACTTTTTGAAATGATCATGTTCGTTTATCTATCTCTTTTTCCTCTATTAAAATGTATGTTGAATGAGAATAGGAGAATGTCTATTCTTGTTCAGTATTGCATCAACAGAACTTGGATCAGCACCTGGATGTAGGAAGCATTTGATAAATATTGGATGGGTAGATGATGGACAAATGGGCAGATTGACAAATAAAATGAAGATTGACGATGGCCATGTGACATTCTGGAAGTTCAAAATACAACCTGGGGGCATGCAGAGGCATGGGCAGTACATACTTGTGGAGCAGAAGGAGCAGTCCTTTCCTGCTGGGGCAGGACTGAACTCCACCTGTAAGATCCTGATTTGAGATATGTTAATAAGGTTAAGTGCAAATGGGTATCCGCACTGAAATTGCAGCCTGGGGCTTTGTACAGATGAGAAAGACACAAAGAAGAAAGAGTTTAGCCCTTGGAGAGAGCTGGCAAGATTCAGACAAGCAGAGTGACCAGTATATAGAACTGTATACAGAAATAGGGGAAACAGGGATGATGCCCACACTGTGGTTCTAGACACTGAGGCAGAGGGGTTTGGATGTGCAGATGAGTCTTCTGGAGTGGGGACAGGTTGAAGCCCGCTGCTGCCATTAATGTTGCCGGTTGGATTCCACGCTGAATGCTTTAGAACTCTCGGGTGAGATGGCAGAAGTCCATTTCCATATCTGTCTTGCTGGGCAGCAACAAGCTCCTAACCTGCAGTCCTGCAGTTGTGGATTTAAATCTGAGCAAGGGGTCTGGAAGATAGAACCTTAAGGACCAACAGGTTGGACTGGGATTAGCAGGGGCTGCTGGTTGTAATGTTACCATGCATTTTTCTTAGAAGCTTAGGCTGGAAGAACTAACTAGTTAATGATCTTATTTTCACAGATAAGGGAACAGACCCAGGAAGGTTAAATTGACATTGGAAACTGAAACCGAACCCTGATTTCTATCTCTCTCCTAATTTATGGGTTGTGCTATACAGGATGCCAACTCCGCTTCAGCTAGAAAGGGGGTGGTTTTCTGTACCATTGTTTCTATATTCAGGAAACACAGGCACTTTGGGATGTAAATAGGTGTTATTATAAAAAAAGGGGGGAGAGATAATAACACTACAAAAAATAATAGCTAACATTTATTGAGTGCCTCCTATATCCCAGGTGCTGTTCTCAATGAATGCGTTGCTTAGTTCATTTCATCCTCACAACACCATAAGGAATTATTATTCCCATTTTGCAGATGCAAAAGCTGAGCCAGAGAGGCAAAATAACTTGCCCAAGGTCATACAACTAGTAAGCTGAGGAGCATGAAGTATAAAGCCTGGCTTCAGGCCTCCCCTCCCCAGTTCTTGACCACTGTGCCGTATTGCTGCTTTTTAAAATAAATTTGTTTAAAAAAGTTAGACAGATTTTTTTTTTTTTTTTAACTGCAGAAATTCTCAAGGCCTTTCATGTACTTAAGGGCAGTGTGGCCCTTCTAAATGAGGAAAATAGTTAAGTGCTATTTCCAAAATGAACTTGATATAAAGACTTTTTCTGGAGGCATTTTATGAGATTAATATTCTGCAGAATACAGATGGGGAGACACTGTTCTCTAAAGATTTGGATGACCAAGGCAGGGTACTTACACATACATGTTCCTAGTGATGGTCTTGCTTATCTCCAAAAGATGTAGCACTGCACTTTTAGAAGTTGATTGTCAAGACGATACTATTTTTTCCTTTAGTGACTAGATGATTTTCCTTCTGGTCAAGACCATGTTGGTCAGAAACATATAAGAGCAAGATCTACACTTGGCGTTCCATACTGCACACTGAATCAGGCCAGAGGCCCAGAAGGCCCCTGGCTGAGCACTGCTTTCCCAAGCTGCATGTATTTACAGTTCTATTCCATTGGGTCTCATCCACCCTACATACTGCATAACTAGTAGTAGTATGGCAGAGAGTTCCGTTAATAGATTGAGCCATCTGTATAACTCCGCTGTCTCCTAACTTATGGCTGGATTCCCACTGAGAATGCCCAACAAGAGTCTTCCTTGGAAACTGAGAGATAAGGCTAGAGTGTTCCACAGCCTAAGTCCCCTTTTTTGTTCATCCCCACACCTTACCCCATTAACTCTAGCACCATCCAGTCACCGCAGGGCAACCAAACAGTGTGGATGGAATTTTCCAGGGCACACAGCCCCAGAATGGAAATTTCTTTTTTCCCAGGTAGATTGCTGCATTCTACAATAATTCTAAATGTATTCATAAACATCATTAATTTTTTAATACAACTTCCCCATTTTAAATATGAAGAAAGTAAATAATGTGGACAAATTCACACAGCTACCAAAATTTAGGACAATGTTTTAAACCCAGTAATCCTGAGTCTATTACTTATTCCATCTCATGCCAAGTGGTTTTCTTCGACCATCTTGGGTCTTATACATCTTATGTTTACCATCAGAAAACAAGAGTATCTCTTTCATGCTACCTGTTGCTATTAATATCATCCTTTAGAGAACGAGAAACTTCAAACATGGGCGCAAAGTAAGTAACATTCTCAAGCATTATGGATCCTGACAAATAATTTGCGCTTCATCAGTTTATAATTTTATGTATATGCTGAGTGGTTGAATAAGATGGTGAAATATGTAGAAAAGAAGAAACAGAAATGCTTTGTAGATCTTATCTATGATCACCTGATAATAGCTAAGGGTGACTAGGGATATTTCCTCAACTCTAGACAAAGTTGAAATCATACATTGTTCAGTAGAGAAGGGTGAAGCAGATGAAACATCTTAAATAAAGGAGTCATGCCTTATTTCAGAGAAGTAAATTCTCAATTAATTATGTTGTGTGCAGTCTGATTTTTACTTTTAAAAAACCCATTGATACTTAATCATTTCCATGAAGTAAAAAGCATGTCTAACTTCTCAATTATTCAAAAATTAATAATTCTACAAATTATCCAAGCTGTTTTCTTTTCCCATCTTTCTACTTTTTCACTGTATCAAAAGGGAAGAAGAAAACAAAATAACACTTGAAAATTTAGTTATTTTGATGTTTGTTTGCCTCTCAGGTGAAACACTTTGATGGTGTATGAGTTTGAAGCTGTGGTTTAAACTTAAGGCTTTTTTTTTTTTCTCTACATATATCTCTGTAGGGGCGCCAAGAAATAGGTAGACAGAGGCTTGAGAATTTTACAGATGAGGAGCAGCAAGGGGTTTCTGAAGATGAAAAGGTGAAGTTTCTATCTCTCCGCCATTTTTTTCTATCTGCTTTTGGACATTTCACCACATGGCCTTACCTGTCTATGATATGCCATGTTTTATACCATGTTCATCTTTGGATAAATTCTAGCCAAATGATACTTTTTAAAGTATCATTTTCCCTCACCTATAAAAATACAGTGATTACTTTTACAATTAAAAAAATGGGAAAATACAGAAAAGTATGAAGAAGAAATTTAAAATAACTAGTATTGACATTTTTAGAATAAGTAGTCTCTTTTATATAGCTTACACACACACACATATTTTAATATAACGTTGGCATCATTGGAGATGCTGAGCCTCAGTTACTAGCGGTATTTTGCTCTTTCTTCTGTTTTCATCTTTTGGCCTGAAAGCAGACAGTCCTCCCAGGAGACTGTCTAAGGGCCTTGGAGACCCTATGTAAAAGAGTCTTGTTATTAGGTGAGAGTGGATAGGAAAGGAGGCTGGTGAGCCATTGCAGATGTCCAAGGGCTGCTGCAGATGTAATGAGGAGGCAGATAGACCTGTGCTGAGTTGGGCAGGGACTGCTAGAATTTCAGCTCAGCTCTTGTGGTAATCCATGTGTGCATCCCAGAGAACTGAGAAAGGAACAGTGTTGGCACCCTCAGGTCACCAGGAGTGTCAGCCTTCTTTCTTTCCTACTAATACCTTTGTCCTCCATAGCAAAGGTAATCAGGAGTTGAGTGCTACTCATTATATTTAGGGAATCTTGTCTCAAAGGTAGTGATTACTGCTCTGGCTATTTCCAATCTCTCTCTTTAAAGTGGATTTCTGCAAATTGCCTCAGCAATTTGAGTGTGCAAAAGATGTTGCCTTCTTCATTCCTTTTTGCCCTACAGGGCGTTCTGTGGTTTGGGGAAATAAGCAGGTATCCTTAGTTTAATACAATTTTCTACTCTGAATTCTTCCATCTTTTGCCTCCTTTCATCTTGGCCCTCATTGTTTTGTCATACTCTAGAGAAAACGCAGAGGACGGGCTATAGAGAGCTTAGAGATTAACCAGATGTTTAGCCAGCCCACGTTGCTACCCCACTGCGTCTTTCAGGAGGCTGCTATCTCTGATCAGACTCCCTACCACATGCACTGCTTCTCCTCAGACATTTCTATGCATACCAGGAAGATGAGGTTGCAGGCAAAGCTAGACAATGTTCAGGCTTTGCATGGTACTGGGCCTTCACTCTGAGGAGCTGTCACTTAGTAGGGGTGCTTGATTGGACTGGGGTGCTCTGGCCTTGGGCCTTATTGAAAGAAGCAGAAATGAGACATAACTCAGTAAGTCAATAATTATGTTCCCTGTTTTGTTCTGCTTCATTTGTTTTCAATAAGTTAACTTTTTTTTTCTGGTTTTAAAGAAATCCATAGTATAGAAATTTTGGTGTGTTTTCCATTAGCAAAACAATACACATTATTTTTACTTTCAGTCTAAAAATGTAGAGTTGTTAAATAGCCCAGCTCAGTCCATCTATCCTTTATGGCATGGTGGAAAGAGAAGGCCTGGTGTCAAGGCCTGGCAGGCTCCTAGCAGCCTTTGCGATTTGGGGTCACTCCCTGTCTCTTTTCCTCAATATCCATAACTCTGAAATGGAATGGGAGGGTTGAGGACAGATAAGGATTCATCTAATTCTCTGGTTACATGATTACTGATAGTGCCAATTCTGGTTCTTAAATGTCAGTTTTCATGGGAAGCTTGTTTAAAATTCACATTCCTGAGTGAGCGCCTGAGAAATCCTAATTCAATCGCTGTGGAGTAGAGCCCAGGAATCTGCATTATAACAAGCATTCAAAGTGTTTTCGATATGTTTTCAAGAATCAAACTATGAGAAACACTTACGTGATAATAGAATATACCCCACTAAAGTGAAAAATGAAAGGAAAAAAGTCTTTAATTATGACAGTCACCTAGTCACTAGCTCAAATAGCTTATTTTCCTTTATTCTTCACTTTTCCTTATTGTACGTTCCACAGTCCTTGATTATTTATTGAACTGAACCAAATCATTATCATGAAGCTCATATTTTTTCTTTCCTACTTTTTTCTCTTCTATCATAATCTTTCCCTTTTATACGCAGATGCTATGTAACTCATCTTTCTGCCGTTGGGCCTGAAGACCCAGCATCCCAGCATCTCCCAGTCTCTGGGCTTCCTCCTTCCCTCAGGGATGCATAGTCTCTCTCCTCACGTCAAATCAGTTGCTCACCCTGATGTAGGAGATTTAAGATCTAATCTTACATCTGCTACAAACTGGTCTTGTGACCTTGGTCTACTCAGGTACCCTCTATGGGCCCCGCTTATCTATACAATGAGGGAATTGCGTTAAATTATATATGTAAGTGTTGTTAAAGTGCCTTTTAAAGTAGATGCACACAGAGTCATTTCGTCTGCTCCCAGCTGTTCCTAATTTAGTCACCCAAGCTGCATAATATAACTTGATTCCTTAAAAGGACTATGTTCTTATTTCTTGTGAACATCTTGAAAGTGTTTAACTGAAGAAATGCATAGAAAAAGCCAGATTATGTGGTATTCTTCGTGCTCTCCAAGAGAATGGAGTCTGTGCTGCAAGACTTCCCTCACAAGGAAGGGTTAGGAATGACAGGGTTAGACTGTCTCCTGGCCCTCAGCTCTCCCTGCCTGTGAGCCCAAAGTCAGTCCTTCATGCAGTTGCAGGCAAAGGGAGAACACTGTCAGGGGGCAGTGTGTTAGACAGGTGGATGTCAGAAAAAAGAAGAGGAAGAAACTTGGAATGTTGTTCTCTGAACAGCCCTTGGTTTCCCTGCTTCCCTCTTCTCTTCCCTCCCCCAGGCTTCTTACACCTTTGGTTTCAGTCTTGGTTTTCAACTCTGGATTCAGCTCTATATTGAAACATTTGTGGTATAGGAACTTTCCGGTGGTGTTGTGTCTGTATTTATCTTATTGATAAATACCTTACTGATAAGATATTTATTAAAAAAATAGAAAACTTTCTAAAATGTGAACCTTTTCCCTTCCTTGTGACTACCTTTTCCCACATGCTGAATGTGGCTGTATTGAGTTGAATGGTTTCCTCGTGGTTCATCTTGCTTCCTTGAAAAGGAGGTTAAAGATATATGTCTGTTTTTATAAACAAAGTCTTTTCAAGACTGAAATGACTAAACTCTCTTCTGCCACAGAAAAAGGTGCAGTATTGTTTGCAGGAGCTTTTCTTGGCTAGAAGGGAAGCCAACAGCCTGGGAAGGATGCCAGCCTTCAGGGGATGATGGATCAGAAGGTGAAACTGCTAAGTTTCAGTTGAGGACCTTTCATGAGCCCTTCTAGTAATGACTAATCACGTCAGCAGAGTGAAAAACTTTAGACAGAAAAGGTGTTGGGGAACTAGGCCAAAGGAATCGTGAGGAACAAGAGCGAAGTTATTTTATTGTCCTTTCAGTTCTCGCTTTTGTAGAGCTGATGCATCGTACGTGTGATGTCATGAGAGATGGGTTCTGGTCTTAACTGTTATGCTTTCTGCAACAGGTGTAACGGAGCACCAGTCACTTACCCTTCTAGATCTAAGTTTTCTCATTCCTCCAGCTCTAAAATTCACCGATTCCAAGTTTTAGTGGTTGAAGGATTCACAAAGCTCTGAAAGCTTGTGGATTTAGTTAGCCTGAAGAAGAAAGGCTTATCCAGTTGCCCTCCCTGTACAGCCCAGCACACTGCTTTTTTCTGGGTTAGAAGTTGGGAATGATGGTTGCAGAGGAGTGACTGTGTTGGAGCAGCAGAAAAAGTATTTCTGTAATTTCAACCAAGGGCTTCATGCGTTAGCTTCAGCAGTTAGCTTTCAATAATTTATGACAGTTTGATTAATCTGTAGCATACAGCGGGGTGACTGGTTTATTATCCGAAGGTTTGATAACAGAACACAGAGTATATTGGAGTAAAGAACTAACATTCAGGTGCTGGCACCTTTTCTTGTCTCTTTAGAGCTGAATGCAATTCTTCATAGAAAATTACTTTTGTTCATAGTCCCAATGTTTTTGCCTCTCTTGCTTGTAGTCTTAAATTATTTGTTTCCTTCTCATTGAACTTCAGCTTGAAAATAATTTGTAATTTTTTCAAATCACAAAAGCGATAAGCATTTGAAGCACTGTCTATTTGAACTGTCAGCTGCTTTTTAGCATCAAGTCCCCCGAATATGCTAATGGTTTCAGCAGGAATCAGAGCACTGAAAATATGAGACATGGTTCTTGGTATTTTTATTTTTAATAAATGCATTTAATCTGTTCACATTTGTTGTGATTACTGTATAATTGCACTTATTTCTGCCATCTTTGTGTGTGTCGGGGGGCACTGAATGGGGTTTTTTGAATGCCATTCTTTGTATTTTCTTATTTCTTGCCCTCTATTGTCTAGATAGTTTTTTATCCTTTTTTTCTTTTTTAAATTTCTCTGCTGGCTTGGAAGCAATAACTTACAGTTTTCTTCTTTTAGTGGTTTCTCTTAAGTTTTTAGAATATATAAAATATAAAGTTTATCTGCCATTGCTACATATTTGAAGACTTTGAGGCAAGGAATTTTGGTGTCATTTTTTACTCTCTCTGACTTAACCATGGTTTTCACATCTATTCAAAGAGAATAACAACTACTCATCTTGTCTGTAAAAGCACCTTGTAAATAGTAAAGGCAAGGTGTGGCCATTTTTATAATTAGTGTAATTGGTATCACATTTTTCCCCTACTCCCTGTCTTTGGAGTCAGATCTGTTGAAGATAGGGGGATAGCATGTTGGGAAATGAAACACTATATAATTTAATGTTTCCACATTTTTAGTTGTCTGCTACATGTTGTTAGCAGTTCACGTAACAAATTGTAGGGTGATTTTTAGAGGTAAATGGATTGTGGCTTTGTTTTTTACTTTTAGAGTTGCATAAAATGAAAGGAAAATGTGTTTAATGGTAGTTACCGGTAGCTAGCTCAGCCATTCACTGGATTTTTCAGTTTCTTAACTCAGTTGTTTTTTTTAATCCAGTGACAGTATCCAGGATGTAACTTGCCATTTGGTATTTCAATACTTTTGTTTTTATCCATCTAAACTAAACTTGGTCTGGGTATAAAAGTTTATTAAACTTTGTATTTCAATTGCTTATCACTATTGTTTCATGATATTGAGAGCCTGGGGAGTCTCAGTGTGAAGACGATGCTTTTTATCAGTTTTGTAAACCTTTTTTTTTTTAAAATAATATATTTATTTTTGTTGTTGTTGAGAATATACACAGCAGAACATAAACCAATTCAGCATTAGAAACCATTTTATTTATCCTTCTCTCCTTCCTCCAGAAAAGCAAAAGCAAACTCTGCTTTGTCAGGTGGCCAGACTCAAAGAAAGAGGACATAGCCTGACTTTGACCCTGGATACATAAAATTAAAGGTTTTTCCCTCTCATATACTATTTCCTCACATTGCCACATTTTTGACAACAAAATGAAAAATTTGTATTCTTCTCTTTCTCCATCCTCTAGTGCATTCCCTGGAGTCTAACAATGTTCAATGCACACTTCTCAGGCATAGGAAACAGTGGCAGCTATGTAGTAATCAGTCTCCCAAACCAAAAACAATATGAAACAACTTCCTAACCATGAGGATTCTACAAAAAACTACACACTTTGCATTATCTAGAGACAGAATGCCAAGCTGCAAAATAACTGAATAAATAGAAAACAAAACAAATTCCAGTGCTCAGTTCCTCACAGTTCCACCTACCTCCACCCTGCTACAGAGCTTTGCTATGAGCAAAGGCAGACCAAGAACAACTGCAGGGAGGACATAAGGTGCCTGAGGGTGATTTGGAGCAGCCACCAGAAAAATTAAATCCAGCCTAAATTGTAAAATGCCGGGAACATGTCCAAGCCAATCAAAGCATAGAGTTCAGGGAAGAGATTTTAAAGTGCATGTGATTTAAAGGGCCAGACACTATATAGGGCCAGGTGCACATTTCAAGTGACAGGATTTAAAGGGGTAAGTATGATTTAAAAGGATAGGCACCAGTTAATGTGGCAGTCTTCCAAAATAGAGGAGAAAAAAGCAAAAGACAAGTATTTTTTAGAAATTGATAAAGAAGATGATAAAAGGGAAAATTTAGAGTCCTGTAAGACAAAAGAGGGAGCGGTGGTGGCACAGTGGTTAAGAACTTGGCTGCGAACCAGAAGATCAGCAGTTCAAATCTACCAGCTGCTCCCTGGAAATACTATGGGGCGGTTCTGCTCTCTCCTATAGGGTTGCTATGAGTCAAAATTGACTCGATGGCAATGGGTTTTTGTTTTTGTTTTTTGTTTTAAGACAAAAGAGTATTACAAAATAGAAGACTCACAACTCCTCTCCCACCAAACAACCTAACAAACCAACCAACAAACAAAAATCCACTCAAGAACCTGAACTTTACTAGATGAACAGAAAAGGGCACTGTTAAGGTAGGAATTTTATAAAACACTCCAGCATCATTGAATTGAACAAAAGGAAGGTCCATAGAGAAATTTTGGAGGAAATCAGGAAATGAAAAAACATCACAAACATCAATAAAGGAAATCTTCCCCTACAAAACAACCAAAAGAGAAGGGTAAGTTTACACTCTGAACATAATTAAGTACACCCAAACAAGCATTTGAAGATATAAGAAAGCTCACTGAATCAGAAGTGCAAAATGGTCAGAAACAAGAATAAAAAAGGAGTTGATTGAACTCAAGAAAGAAATGGAAGAAAAAGATAAAAGATCTCAGAAATGAAGAATAAATTAAAAGTACCCAAGTAAAAACAGACTTTAATGAAAATTTAGTAAGGGACTTAAAGAAAGACAGAAAAATAACCAGAGAATGAAAATGACAAAGAAAGAAGTAAATCAGGTCCAAGAGAAAGTACTGGAAATGAAAGTGTTTGTTTTTTATCAGACTCCCGAAAGAAGAAAACAACAATGGTACAGAGCTAATATTTAAAATTGTAATTTAAGAAAACTTTCTAGAAATAGAAGACCTGAATCCACACATTGAGAGGGTTCACTGGGTACATGGGAAAATTAACCCAGAACAGTCAACTCTGACACATATCCTAGTAAAGCTATTAGATTTCAAAGATAAAGACAAGATCCTCAACACCTCTAGGCCAAAAGATCAAATTTTAAAAGGCAAAATATATCTCCTCACTTACTGACATGGTTAGATTCCAAAGACCAGGTCGTTATGGGAAAATCAGCATTATGCAAAAATGGAGGATGACTACATCATCATATAACTGCCAGATTACATCATTACATAACTGCCAAACCACTGAGAATGATGGCCAGGCCAAGTTGACGCATAACCTTAACCATCACAGCCAGTGCTACTCTCGCCTCGCACCTCAGCGTTCATTACTGCCAGATGTATGTTGTTAATGTGCAAAATAATCAGATAGTAGGTTTTTTTTTTAAATACAAAATGTTGGATAAAGAGTCGATAATTGAGGAGTGGATGTAATTAGACTAGCATCAAACTTAAAAACCTACAATGCAAGGCAATGATAGGGCAGCATTAAAAAATAAAGAAAATGTGAACCAAGGGTTTTATATCTAGAACTTTAGGGAATTCTGCACTTATTATCCCTTCTTGAAGAATCTACTAGAGTAGGGGTCAGCAAACTACGGCCTGCTGCCTATTTTGTAAATAAAGTTTTGTCGGAACTCAGCCACTGTTTACATATTGTCTATGGCTGTTTTTGTGCTACAATGGCAAGGTTGAGTAATTGCAACAGAGGCCATATGACCAACAAAGCCAAAAATATTTACTCTTTGGTCCTTTACAGAAAAAGTGTACCCACCCCCACAGTAGATGATTCCCAAGTGATGACTGGGAAAATTTCAGCAACAGGACTTATGATGGCCTTCAGAAATACATAAATGTACATATAAGACTAAAACAAAGATGGGGATGATAGTAGAAGACAAATGTACAAGTTTTATGTACTATGGCAAAGTAGAAATAATGCAACTTAAAAATAGGAGGAGAAGGAATAGAGAAAGATGAATATTGAAAAACAATAATTTGTTGAATAGGCAATAGGTATGTGGTAAAGGATACCCCCCCTCAAGAAAATGAAAAAAAAAAAAAGGCTCAAAATAAATTGATAAACCAGACATTGAATTGTTAAATAACAAGGGAGTAAGGATATTTAAAAAGAATAAGTAAAAAGATAACCACCGGAACAAAAATAAGAAACCTTTCTAAATATCAACATACCCCTCTCATAGGGAAAGAAACACGAAATTTTTTTTTTTTAATTTATGGTTATAAAATATTAGGATAGATTTTTGCCTAAACATACCAGTCATGACAATAAATGTGAATGGGCTTAACTTATTAAAAGAAAAAGATTTATAATTGGTTCACAATATAAAACCTAAGTTCATATTCCGTATCAGAGACTTAGCTCAAACAAAATGATTCAGATATATTAAAAATAAACAGATGGGCAAAAGCATACTTGCAGATGGAAACAAAAAGAGAATGTTAGCCATCGTGATATCAGACAAAGTAGAATTCAAGCCCAAAAACATTAATTATAACAAAGAAGGACACTTTTTAATGCTAAAAGCCACAGTTTACTAACAAAAACGAAAAAAAAAAAGAGAAAGTCCCTTGCACCTGGAAATTTATAAATCCTATTAAGTAACTCCTGGGTGAAAGGGGACATGTACATTAAAATTACAGAGTTTTCAAAAAATAATGACAATGTGGTCTTTTGTGACTGGCTTCTCTTACTTAGCATAATGCTTTCAAAGTTCATCCGTATTGTGGCATTTATCAATACTTTATTCTTTTTATTGCTGCATAATATTCCATTGCATGTATATACCATATTGTACTTATTCATTCATCAGTTGATACACATTTGTGTGGTTTCCACTTCTTGGCTATTCTGAATAATGCTGCTATAACCAACTGGGTAGTCATTTGGAAAAAGATGAAATTAGATCCATATCTCACACCATACATAAAAATAAACTACATATGGATTGGGTATATAAATGTAACAAATAAAACCATATAAGTTAGAAGAAAACATGGGCAAATTCTTCTTTTACCACAGTGCAGAGAAAGGCTTTCTAGGTATGACTTAAAATCCAGAGGCAATTAAAAAATAAATAAATTTGACTGCATACAATTCATTTTACACTTGCATGACAAAAAGTCATCAATAAAATCAAGACAACTGACAATCTGGAAAAAAAGTATTCACAATGTATACCCCTAACAAATAGCTAATATCCCTAATCTATAAAGAACTCCTTAAAATTGACAGGTAAAGGACCAGAAACCCAACAGAAAGTGAGGGATGAGAGAAAGAACATGAACAGACAATTCACACACAAAAAACAAGATATAAAAATAACCCTCAAACATGTGAAAAAATGTTCAAACTCATTCATGATTAAAAAACCAAAACCAAACCTGCTGCTGTCAAGTTGATTCTGACTCACAGCGACCCTGTAGGACAGAGTAGAACTGCCCCATATGGTTTCTAAGAAGCACCTGGTGGATTCGAACTACCGAACTTTGCAGTGAGCAGCCATAGCTCTTAACCAGTACGCCACCAGGCTTTCCCATTCGTGATTAGAGAAATGCAAATTAAAACAACACCAAGATACCATTTCTCACCTATCAGACTGGCAAACGTAAAAAATATGGCAACATACACTTGCTGATGGAATACAAGTGGTATATTCTTTTTTGGAGGGAAATTTAATAATACTTAACATTAAGTTACATGTGCAAATACCTTTAAACTTATTAATCTCACTTCTAGGAACCTACCCTGAAGATATACCTCCAGCAGTACAAAAATACATATGCACAAGGTTATTCATTGCAGCATTATTTGTAATTGCAAAATATTTGAAACAAGCTATATACTCATACATAAAAGAGTGATTGAATACATTATGGTACATCTATACAATGGAGTACCATACTGTTCTTAAAAAACAATGAAGAATATCTCTATGAACTGATTTGGAGTGATTTTCACAACACACTATTTAATAATAATAAAAAGCAAACTAAAAGATCCTGTAGGATGCTACTCTTCATGTAAAAAAAAAATATATATAAGAACATATACATGTATCTATTCATTTTTGCAAAGGAAATAGAAGAAGAGTCTGTCAGAAACAAAAGAGATTGGTTATCTTCAGGGGCTAGCTGAGAAAGGAGTGGAAAGAAAGCAATGGGAACAGGTTAGTAGGGATAAGGAGGGAACGATGCTTTTCTAAGTAGACCTTTTTCTATAGCTTTGAATACAAGGGAGATAAAAGCTTAGAACTAGAGTAATGTTTCACATAATCCCAAAGACTAAATAATATCAACCAACATCTTATATTCCCATTTATTTTATATTTTATATTCCGCTTAATATTACCTCCACAATTTTAAGTAGAATATAAAATTAAGTGAAGTAGCAAATGAATAATATACCACACTGAAAGGAATAGAGAAGAAAAGAACTAACCTAAGAAACCTTGGTAAACAGTATCTTGACTGGATACTATAAGGCTAAAGACAAAAAGAACTGTTTGTAAATGTGGTATAATCTTGTTAGTAAATATGTTACTCACAAGGGTATGTATTACTAATTTTGAAACCACTTGATACATATACTAGAACTGAACAAATAAGCAAATACATAGTAGATAATGACAGACAAGTTTCTCACTGTTGGAGAAAAATAGTACAAATAAAGAAGGGGGGAAGACTAAAGCCCAGTGGTGTTGGATTGGAGCAAATATGTCAGTAAAACTCAAATTTAATAGTTAGATAGGTAGATGGATAAAGAAATATAGATGTGTGTGTTTGCATGGGTTGGTATACATACATATATTTCCTTGCTCCGGGTGCTAATAGGTCCTAGAAGCAAAGACACTACAGTAGCAATGAATATACCTAGCACCCACATCTTGCTTTCTAAACGCTATTCTCCAGCTAAAAACAAAAACAAGCAAACAAACAAAAAAACACAAGGATTCTTGGATTCCAGTCTTAGGGAAATAGAAGATGAACCTAGAACAGCTTGTGGTACCAGAAAGTAAGGAAGTGCTCAAAAACAAATGAACAAGGATGGAGCTTTGTAAAGAGTAAAAAGCACGGGAGCCGACTTGCAGAAGCTGCTAATGGCCAAAGCTGGAGCAATTTGAATAACAAAATATATGATGATTGTAATGAATTTTAACCTATAGAATAAAATAAATATCCATGCATCCATATTGATATACATGAATAATCATGTAAATACCTAAATAATGGAGAAAGGACAGCTCTTCCTTATAGAAGAATTTTAATTATTACAGGTAGAAAGAAAGAGAGGAAACCAGAAAATCACTATTAGATAAACACCACAGCAGTAATTACTGCAGACAATATCCACCAATGAATACTAAAATTAGTGGGCAAAAGTTTGGAGAGAAATACATTATTTGCATAGTCTCAAAGAATCTCCCTACAAGATACTTATTAATTAGAAAGGAAAAAATAGTAACTTTACAGTGGAAAAACCCAAAGTAGTCAAGGTTAACATTTCCAGTAAGACATTTCAGCATCGAAAAGCTTTTGATATGATGCACTGAGAAGGACACATCACTTTTATGATATTCTTGCCAAAAATGTGTTACCTCCTTCATGAGAAAATATCAGATAAACCCAAATTGAAGGATGTAGAAAATAACTAACTAGTACTCTTGAAAAGTTTCATGGCCATGAAAGACAAGAAAAGATTGAAGAGTTATCTACAGATTAGAGAGACCAAGGGAAGATAACAACTAAATACAAGTGTGATGTTGGATAGGATCCTCCAACAGAAAAAAGACATTCGTGGAAAAACTAATGGAATTCAGATAAGGTCTATAATTTCATTAGTAATATCATGTGAATATTAATTTCCTGATTTTAATAATTGCCCTGTGGTTATATTAGGAGGAAACTGAGGGATGGTAGGGGCATATGGGAGCACTCTGTCCTATTTTTGCAGCTTTTCTCTAAGTCTAAATTTATTTCAAAATAAAAAGTTTTTAAAAATTGGGTAGAAAACCAAAAAATAAAAGTAAAAATATTCCACACAAGGTGAGGCCCAGACCAAGGCTTGCCCTAAGGAAGAAAATGTGCTGGTACTTAATAGGGAAGAGAGGAGTTGTGGGCAGCTACACTAAGTTTGAGAGTTAGGGCCAGAAGGCAGCAGAGATAAATCAAGAAGTCAGTAGAATGAT